TTGAGGTTCCAGCAATTTTACATTGTGTTAATTTTTTTGAACACCTTGTGTCACAAATATGAGCACTACCAATGACATCCATGATATGCAACACTTGTGTCAATAATTATTTTACCTATCTAAAGAAATCAACAATAAGAGGCAGTACCCATCTAAGGATACACAATCTGTATAATGCAATTTTTTTAAACATAGGTTTTGATATCGTACCATATTGGAAGTCGACGCACAAATCTAAAAACATTACTTTCGAGTTTTTGAATTTTCCCATTCCAAGGTGATATAAAATAAATAATTAATTAGGTAAATTCATAGTTTTAATTCTAACTTGATTTATTTTATTTAACATTTAAGGCAAATGTGATTTCCAAACACAAGATAAGTTCCTTATCTATTTAATTACATAATTGAAAGCATTAAATTTATTTAGCAGTTATTATTTGGCAACAAAGCCACCGCTGGAACTGCCGCCTATTACTAAGTAGAAGAGTTACCACGCTAAATTTTATAGCTGGAAGCCGGCTAAGGAGACCCTGCTTCCATTTCGGGTTGCCAATTTCCAGCATTTAAGTAGCAGTCTGTAGCGATACGCTATATTGTCTGTGTTATTGCTTACCGAAAAGCAGATAAAACGTCATTCGTAAATGAAATAAAATCACACAGCAATAAAATAATACCTGTTGTAAGGACTTACCAGATCTTACAGCTACAAGTATTCAGAATATCCACATTCTAAACAAGCACATATTCTATGAATCCAATTGTATACGCTGGAAAATATTTCTTAAGCGGCAACAATTCGTATTCAATTGCATTGGAATACACTCATATTCTAATTTCAAATAAATGAGGTCAGAAATTGTATTTGTAAGCAAAATGAGCTATTGTCGCATGTTAAAGACGATAGGAATGATTGTTTAATTGTTCTTGCACAAGTTTGGTCAAGACTTTGGTAATAATTCTTCTTGGGCTTCTGGTACAAGCAATAATTCTGGAATTATCGTCAACAATGTAACTGCTCTTCTACCTTCACAAAAAAAATCATATTTTCTTCGTTCAGGGCGAGGAATAACATTGCCAGTATCTGAAACACATTGCGGCACCTACAAATAACCTAGACGTGTGGTAAACGTCTTATCTGAATGCCGATTACTATTAACACGTCGTGCTATACAATAATTACATTGCGCTAGCTATAAAATCAATGCTATAACTAACAACAACTTTTTAATCAACTGTCAATTGAAAATTGATGATAGCAATACAACTACAGCCGACCTAAAATTTGCCGAGATAACGCAGTTCGGAATAAAAAAGTGTTGTATATTTTGTTATTTCCAGCTTTGATCATTTCGGTATTAGACCAGTTAGTTAATCCTGTTCATTTTAAACTAAAAATAAACACACCACCACAGAAATGAGACAACCCCCAAATCCAAAGCCAAAGGCTTGTGCGGAAGGGGGCTACACTTGAAAAAACGCGGACAATCACCCATTATCCATCGACATTACCAGTGCCGACACCGGGGATCGAACCCGGACCAGAGTAGGAAGCCTAGCCGAGAAATGCTTGCCACCGCACTCTCGACCGACTGCGCTACCGTGGCGAATAACGTTTACTAAATTTTAATTTAGACATTAATGAAAATATCTTCAGTTTGGAAGAATGATATGAAAACTTGTGCGAACTTATTAAATTTGTTGGATTACCTATGTACAATAACAGTGTTAAATGTTTCAAGTTTCAATATCCATGTTGATAAATTCTTATTTTCGCTGTCTTTGTTTCAGGAGAATAGTAAACACTGGTTTAGAAGAAATGCCCAATTTCAATGGCTTAAATACATCTTCTGTTCTGCACATGATGTAAGTATTTTTCATGGTTGTATATGCCATTTTTAAAATTGGGTATTATTTGTTTGTCACAAGATGGATATTGACAAAATATCAAATTTGAACCCCTGCTGCTCTACAAAAGTAATTGTAATGATTATCATTACTGACAAGCATTTTTGCTATTCTTGAATTATTTTAATGTAAGAGAAAGATAAAAAAATAATTGAATATTATACTACAAACAGAAAACAAATATAATGTTTTAATTAGACATAACTTTTTCTTACGATTAGAGCGATGAAATAGTGAGTGTCTATCTGTAATAGATGGTCTATCTGTAATAGACAGCCAAAACAATGCGTCATAAGCCCAATGTGTTAGACAAGCACTTGTTTCCCTGGTAATTAATCTATTTCTAATACATTTATGCTTGAGGCATACTTTTCTGTCTTTATATCTCTTATTACTAGGGCTGTCAGAACTGAGTCGCGGGACATAGGCGCACGCATTATTTATTAAAAAGCAACAAATTAAATTGTCTACAGTACACCATCATAAACGCCAACGGATAGGAATTAATTACGCAACATCCTCATGATAAGAAACAACAGTATACTAACGTGACGTAAACGTGAAAAATATTCTGAGGCAGCAGCTCACGCATGTTGCTTAGCACGCCATAGAATTGCTTATCTCTCTGACAATCTTACCTATTACAGATGGTCTATTAAGTAAGCTTTAAGTAAGTGTTTTGTCCAAATAGTAAAAATATACATGGTTTATTGTTATATAGAGTGGAAAGTTTAAACAGAACAAATTTGTAATTTAATAAATAAAGGTTTGTCACCAAATTAATGGACCACGTCAATTTTTATTTTCAATAGGGCATATTACAATGAGGTTTATTTATTTTTTTAATTGTGTGCAACAACCCCCAACTTTTTTGTTA